AGTGAGAGCTCACTACTCTCATAGAGTCTAACGTAATGCAAGGTGTAAACTGTCACCAAGCACAACGCTACAAAAGAAAGGCACAAGGGTCACCTTTCTTAGAAAAGCGCAACAGCCACTTTTCTACACCAACTCCAGACTCTATCTAACTCAATTGCTTTAGCCCCAAAAGTTAGCATCCCTTTCGGGCCGCATCATACAAACTACTTACTAAGATCTAAGCCAACCGAAGTCAACTCCAACCCCTTCACTAGTTTATACTGGCTTACGAAAAATGGAATAGTTTTTGGCAAAGTGATCAACAGATCAGCCATTGGGGAAGTCTAAGAAAATTTGTGGAAAATTTTCCAATCCTAGAGAAAGAATAACTCTCAGTCCAGGAATGCAAACTTTCAAGACTCAACCAACTTCCTCCTACTAACAACTTCACATAGATTCACCTCAACACAAATTCTCATGACCCATAATATGCTTAAGCATTGAACATCTTTGCCCATATAACCGACATCCAACACTGACATCCGCAAAGTGCAAAATGAGCATCCAAGGCTTGATCACAAAGACCACATCATCGGATATCCACATTGCACTAACACTCTTTTTCAACCACCTTCAAGATCCAATGTGAAGCCAAAACACTAACAAGAAAAATGACATGGAAAATCAAGCTCTAAGGAAAATTCCTCATCACTTGAAATAACAATGCCACTTCCACTAACACAAGTGCTAGCAATGTTAATGCCTCAACTACACATCTTCTCCATCCAACAATCTACTCCAAGTGCTAACGGATCAACCAACAAGCTATAGCAAATGAATGCTACAACCCTTTTCCAACACCTAATGGGCAAACTCAAGGAAACAAGGTACCAACTTAAGCTTAGCATAATGGACCACTATAGAGAATCCAGTCAAAGCTACTACAATGCTACTTCGTGCAAGTAGACTAGCTTCTCCATCAACCACTTTGGGGTTGATCATCATTTACCCAAGCAACTTCGTAAACGCATTACTCTTTATCACATGGATATGATATAAGTATCACAATGACTTGATCATCAATAGAGTAACGCAATGAGCAAGGCTTATGTCATTACTTCAAATGTTTATGTGAGTATTAAATGCCAACTCGATTCGACAAAATGCAACATAAATGCCACACTCCACCAATAGAGATTTACGACACCCAACACCACTAACTTTTGTTCACAACACAGACAAGCTTATGCCATTCTCTTTCCGACCAATCTCAAAATTATTCCAACACCAAGCTACTCAAGGAGCAATAACAAGGTTCCCCGGAAAAGAATTAAGCATTGCAACCCAAGTCTTCCAATAGCGAGCCTAGACAAAATGGTTTAGTGTTTCACCACTATCCATCCCATAACTCACCACTTGTAAGACCACCATCTCCAACATGCATCAAGGTAGGGACTCTTGATTGCATAATGTAAACACAAGCAATGAGTCACACCTCGTTGCAAATCATCTCTCTAAGAAGAGAAAATAATTTACGTATTTGATCCTTCGTCCCTGACGACTCTCTTTCCAGCCTCATCTTGACTAAACCTCAAGCTTGCTTTCGCACTGCCTTCAGTTCAATCAAAGAAAAGTTTATTCTGATACTCCACACAAGAGGAAGGACGTACGCATGGATGGCCAATATGTACGATTTCAAATTTAGGGGTAGGAATATACCTTGCTCAAGGGTATATTATACTTTTAAGTAGCCACTAATCAATGGGAATCGAACCCGTGCCATTTTCTCTGATACCAACTGTAGCGCACCTTATCTCTCTCCCCTTAAGCCAACTGGAAAAGGGGCAATTGCTTGATGAGAGAGCCCTTAGTGGCTATTTTATCCCCATTTATCCCCCAAGGTTCCAAGGATCCACGGTGATAGTATATCCAAATCTCATCCTATGATCACATGTGCTACAGCTATATAAAAACGCTGTCTTGATATCAAGCTAACAGACTTCTAGATCCCAATATGCTCCAAGACAAAGATTAATTCTTATAAAAGGCATTTTAGCCACTGGCAAAAAAGTCTCAAAAAAATCCATGCCAAGTACTTGACTAAATCCTCTCACTACAAAGTGAGCTCGTCACCACTCCACTGGCATCCAATTTGCACTTGAATATCCACTTGGAACTGATGATTTTCCTGCCTGGTGGGAGAGAAACAAGCTCCTAAACATTGTTACGTATCAAAGAGTTGTACTCCTTGTCCTGCTTCTAGTGATTGGAGAGCTGCACAAACTGTGCATGGTTCAGGAGGAAGCTACTCCATCACTGACAGCCAGAGTCTTGAGCATCGTGAGCTACTTGTAATAAATAGCTAACTCTCCCATTGTGTGTGATAGTCCTTGCCAAGAATAAGTGGATCAGCTTTTTGCTGAGATCTTGTAGCCATGGGAGTACTAGGCTCTACTTGCGGCTGCCCTGGTGGAGACTCCTCCTCCTCTAGTTTATCAAACAAACCTAAAAAATGAAGCCGTCATCAAATGGCATGGTTGTTTGATATTTTTATCAACTACAACTTTATGGCCATTTGAGATTAAATGAGTTGCCAGGAACAAATGTAAAACTTTGCCACAAGTTTCACATTCCAAACAAAAATTCTTGTATGTGAATCCTCAGATTGAAGTAGCATAATGCAAAAATTTGACACCACTTTCTTCCTCAAATGGATTTATAATTTTTAAGATCTCTACCTCTACCATTTCTTTTATATCTTGTTTTTGAAGCACTAGCTGCTGAAGTTCTTCCACAGGAATTAGATCATTTTCTACTTGATATGACTTCTCTTTAGCCAATCTTTTCTTATAGTTCTCATCATGTTGCCTACCAAGAAGATGTCTAGCTACAAAATTATAGCAAGTGTCACTTAGTCATTTCCTCTATGCAATACCATATTCGTGATAAAAGATGGAATTGCACTTTATTGTCTTTGTTAAATGAAATCAGCTCACACTTGTATTTTTGCCCTAGCTTTTTGATCTTCACCAAAGCTTTCCTATAAGATCTTGTCCAAGCATTAAATTGGTCCTTTGGTGGCTAGTTTAGGGGGGTTCATACCAATGTCTACTTGTATATTGTTAAATGTCTCACTAGACTGTGTTAATTCCCTTGATTCAAATGTTAAATCAATTGGATTGACAAAAATTGGTGCAACTTAAATTCTAACTTATACATCATTCTCATTACAAGTATGTTTCTCTTCATAAACAAGCTGGTGTGGTCCAAGAAATGCCCATTGTCTCCCTTCCAATCCAGGGATCTCATCCCTCTCAATCAGCTGCCTTACAATCTCAAATAAACATTGCTCTAGCACCCTAATAAAGCGAAGCAACTCACTACTATCTTTACTAATCAGCACATCACACTCAACAATAGCTCATTGCTTCCTCCTCACCACTGTGCTATTAACCCTAATTCTGTATATTATAGATTTTCAGTGGACAGTGACTTTGTGTTTTTTAAAATGACAATGATGTAGTAGTCTTGCATGGTAAAGGTGTCATGCCCATGTATAATGTTTCAATTGTTTATGTAGCAATTAAAAAGTGATTGTGTGCATAATATTTTTGCATATATATCAAAACAAAAAATAAATCCACACATGTATAATGTAATATATGCAATCACATATTCATTACCATCCATGAATAGGTGAAAACTGTATTGTAAATAGAAATTACACAAAGACAGTGCCACCTTGAATGGATTGGATGAATAGCTATGATTGGTATATTTCAGAAAGAATATATTATAAAAATTAAACATTTACCGGAATATGCTCTGCAGACCAATGGGAGCTTACATGTGGCGCATGCAATGTGCGGTCTGATTTACATTCTGAATGGACCACAATAACCTTCCGATTTTCGTGAAGCAAAGATGCCTTGTTACTCGCCAGTACAATTACCTCAGGAATGTTCAAGATAGCAGAACACAAAACATTGAGAAAAATTGAAACAGAGATCAATGTTTTCCAGATCCGGACTCCTTTGGTACAAGTGACACACTGGTCTCAGGATCTATCACTTTCGCAGTGGCATTTCTCACAATCGTTCCACAAGATCCAAGCTTCAGTCATCCCATATCCCTGGAAGAATAAACACAAATTAGAATTCTATGCAAATGCTAACCTGGTACGAGAACTCTCCTGGCAGACCGTTTGGAGAAAGACTTCGGTGTGATTGCTGTTCCAGAGGTATACTGGACAAATTTGTGCTAGCCACAGAGATAGTAATGGTTATCATCACTTCTCATGAGTTTTTTTTCTGGTCTTTCACCAACAGGTATGGGATGCAATGAGGAAGTTGTCAACGTCATCCCATCACACTTGACAAGAAGCAAGCCAGCGCCAAAATCAACAGTGCAGTGGTGTGCCTGTTCTTAGACACCACCATGGTTTGTCAGGCCTCGAATGGAGACAACGAAACCAAAACGATAGTCTTACCTCAGACAGGAGACGAGAAAGAATCGAGAGATGACGCGACGAGTAAAACTGGTGAGGAAGAGTCCTCCAAGTCGGATATTGAAGGGTGAATTCGCTGCTAAGGTTTTTGCTGGGGGACAAACTCCAAGAGGAGGTGCTAAAGAAAGTAGCAGGGAATCAAAGAGACCATTCCCATACATAGCTCTTGATCATCACGTTCCAGGCCTCGGCACTCTTCCTCAGCAGATTCACAAACAGCTTTCTTGGCATCTCACCACACTGGAAGAGCTCGATTCGAGTGCTCAGCCGGACGATTTTCGCCAGAAGGACATGATTATGTGATATGGAAGAAATTAAGGCTATTATTCTATGCAGCAGTGAAGTTATGCAAGGAAACTTGAATAGATACCAAGTTAAACTGCTGCTAATGTAGACGTAGTGGTTATTGGGGCACGATTAGAAATCGCAGGTTCGAATCCTGCCGTCCACGTATACACCTCGTTTTAGCACTGCTTGAATTGTTTTGCGTTTGGACTTAGCTCAAAGAAAGTGATAGCTCTTTGGTCGATTTTTTCTTTTTGATCCATTTTTGTAGTCCTGAAAATAACAAAACTTTGCGTTTCAAGGTGCGTGGCGAATGGATCAATCATCAAGCGTTAATAATCTGCTGTACATTTTCTTTTGATCTTTTCTTTTTTCTCTCTTTCCCATTTATCGCTCTCGTGTGAAAATTGATGTTTATCCCTGAAGAACACACAAGTTTGGTCACTAAACTTTCAGTGAATCTCCTTTGCACCAACCTTGTGTGTGTGTGAGTGTGTGGAAACTTAGTTTAGCTCCAGCTTGCTTCTCAGATCCTTTCTCAGGATTTTTCCTGCCGGTGACTTGGGTATGGAGTCCACGAAGTAAACTTTGTGGATTTTCTTGTAGAAGACAACCTGTATGGCAGAAGTAAGTTCGCATTTAAAGAGAGAGCTGGCTGCGTGTCATGCTTCATTTAACGCCGCACTGCTGCGGTCACTGCTGCGATGGGAATGAAGAGAAGAGAAGAGACTGGAAACTTGCCTGTTGTGATACGAACAGCTTGAGCTCCACTTCCGATACTTGAAAGCCATTTGCAATCACCACGAATGCTACTGGCAGTTCTCCGGCGGTTTCATCCTTTTTCCTGCAAGAAAAAATTAGATTTTGAGTTGCTTGATTCGATGAAAGCTCCAGCATTCCTGGAGGGAGAGTTATATGATTAGTTTCCGCTACTTACGGGATCACTGCAGCATCAGCAACGCACGGATGCGACGTGAGAATCGCTTCAACCTCAGCCGGTGCCACCTACAAAATACGAGCTTGTAAGAAAAATGAATACTTGCAAGTCAAAATACACCAAAAGTGGCAAAGAACCAACCTGGAAACCTTTGAATTTGATGATCTCCTTGACACGATCCACCAGGAAAACCTCGTCATTGTCATCGATGTATCCGACATCTCCGGTGTGAAGCCAGCCCTCCTTGTCGATCGTCAGTGCAGTTGCCTCTGGATCATTCAGATAGCCTGCCAGTGAATCAAAAGTTAGAACACAAAAAAATCACAAAGAAAAAGAAGTTTTTCCACCTTTCATGATCTGGGCTCCTTTGATACAAATCTCTCCAGCTTGGTTGTGTGGAAGTGACACTCCAGTCTCGGGATCCACCACTTTGGCAGTGGCGTTTCTCACGATCGTTCCGCAAGATCCAGGCTTGACTGGAAAAACTTCTTTCGCGAATGCCAGATTCATGGCGATCACAGGCCCAGCTTCGGTCATCCCATACCCCTGGAAGAAAAAAGAAATTCCACGAATCAAAAACCCCATTCTAGGCAAATGCTGCAAAGCTCGAAAACTCTACCTGACCGAGTACCGCCAGAGGTAGCCGAGCCCGAAACGCGTCCTCGAGCTCCTTCCCCAGCGGCGCGGCGCCGGACAGCACCATCCGGACGCTGGAAAGATCATACTTGTCCACGATCGGGTTCTTGGCGATGGCGAGAACGATGGGTGGCACGAACGGCGCGATGGTGACGCGGTGGCGCTGGATGAGCTCCAGGAGCTCCGCGATCTCGAACTTGGGCATGATGAGAATGGTGGCTCCGACTCGCAGCGAGCACAGGAACACCGAATTCATGCAGTAGATGTGGAAGAGCGGCAGCACGCACAGCACGACGTCGTCGGGCGTCCAGTAGATGTTTGGATTGGCGCCGTCCACCTGCTGGGCGATGCTGGTGACGAGCCCGCGGTGCGTGAGCATCACCCCTTTGGGCAATCCGGTGGTGCCGCTCGAGTAGGGGAGTGCCGCCACGTCGTCCGGCTGTACCACCTCGGGCTCGGGCTCCACCTCGGGCTCCACCTCGGGCTCCTCGAGCAGCGTGGAGAATGGAAGGACCAGCTTTCTCCTTGGCGAGTTCTCTCCATCTTGGCGAGAGTTTTCTCCATCTTGGGGCGGTGGTGGAGCATCGATCGTGAAGATCACCACGTCCGGATCGAGCTCCGCGAGCTTGGGGACGTAAGGCGAGAGCGTGATGACGATCCGGGCGTTGCAAGCGCGGGCCTGCTCGCACACCTCGCGGGCGGTGTAGAAGGGATTGGCGGTGGTGGCGACGGCGCCGCGGCGGAGGATGCCCAGGAAGGCGAGCACGAACTCGATGCAGTTGGGGAGGAGGAGCATGACGACGTCGCCGCGGCGGAGGCCGTGACGCGCGGCGAGTGAAGCCGAGAGCCGCGCGGATTGTACGGCCACCTGGCCGTACGTGAGGGTGGCGCCCGACTTACCGTCGATGACGCACGGACGGGCCGAGAAGCGCGCCGCGCGCTCCAGGACGTAGTCGACCAGGGGGGTGTCGTGGGCGATGGCGATGTCGGGCAGCTTGGATCTGTAGAGGTACTCGCGGGTTTGCGATTCAGGGGAGGGATTGCACAAATGTGGCATTGTCTTGGCGGTGGTGGTGGCGCTTCGCTGTTGCTGCTGCTGCTGCTGCTGGGTCTCGATTGTGGGCGCCATTGGAGCGAGCTTCTCTTCTCCTCCTTTTTTGCTTCTCTTCTTGGATCGATCGATCAATTCGGCAATGGGAGTCGATAGAGCATCGCCCACTAGCGAAGAACAAATGCTAGAACTTCTTTGTGTTCTCGATCACGATCTTGGAGAGCTTTCCCCCTGGCTTGGCTACAAAGAAAGAAGAAAAGAAGGGAAACAAAGAAAGAACCAAAACAAGCTCCTCCTTCTCCAAATTTCCAAAAGCGATTAGTGTGGCAGCGTCTTCCTCGGATCTCCCGATTGCACACACCTTCGTGCTTCGATTCCAGCCGCACAAAAAGATGCTCCCACTGCCACCACCACCACCAAGCAATAGCAGCGCGCAGTAGCAGCAGTGTAAGATCAATCAAACCGCAAAGAAAAAGGATTTTAAGCTCCACAGAGAGAGAGAGAGAGAGAGAGAGAGCGAGCCAAGAACAAGGTGTGGAACTGTTTTAGGTTTTTGATGGGCGCTCGAGAAAGGTGGTCCCGAAATTTTCCATCCCCAGGACCACCTCTCCAATGGCTGCTACGCGCACGATTTCACCTACGACACCAGTTGCCGTGAAGCGGTATTTTGTGACTTAAGAAGAATTACATCTTTTAAGTTTGGAGAATGGAATTACAGTTTGTGTTTTTCTTGAGACCAGTAGGTGAGGTTGGTGTGGAGAGAAAACAGTTTGGTGACGAAGGTTTTGAATGGTTGATTAAAAGAGTATCAATGTGGGGACATATAGCTTTCTTCTTTTCTTTTTCTTTTGCTTGACGCCCTTTCTTTTTCTCTAGTTTTGATGATTTCAACGCAAATGATGACAAGTTCAACAATAGGCTGAAGAGCTGAAGAAAAATTCTTCGTGGCAGCAGCAGGGGCAACAGGAGGGAGAGTTTGAACAAAGAGAAAAAGTCTTCGGGAGGCTACCAAACTCCGAACTCGTGTTCAGATGGTTTGATCTGTTTGGACTTTGAGTGTTTTGTTTTCTGCGGAATTTTCCTTCCGCGGACCGGGCATCTTGGCGTTGAAGTCAGTTGCTGCAAGTACGTAGAGATCATGTTCTTTCGCCATGCATAGCTCATGCACACACACACAAATTTGGCTTTGGGCGAGGCAAAGATGGTGAATTTGCACACAGACAAGTGTTATAGTCGAGTGCGGGAGCAAGGTAAAGAAAGTGGGCGATTGCGAAAGTTGATGAACAAATTAAAAAAACGTACTTTGCAAATCAAAATAGCACACACACAAAAGAAAAAAACCACATGCTGTACAGTGAATCCATGGCGGTACCGTGCGGTCCTCACATCACAATCTAGAAACAACATCGTGTTTCATGTGGACGACGCGGGAAATCCTTACAAAATCCTGTGAATAAATTTTGGTAACCTCTGTCAACAGGCATAAATGCCAAGCCACATCACATTTTCGATATTTGTTTGTTTTAATCTACAACCAGCTTTCACCACCTTTTCTTTGAATGGGTGTTCGCTTGTTGGATTTGCATCATGCGGGGCAACTCACTCCACTCTGGCCAAGTTGGAATTTGAGATCATCCCCACCACTCTGGCCAAGTTGGAATTTGAGATCATCCCCACCACTCTGGATGACGAAAACAAGCGCTACGTGTATCACGTAAGAACCCACTACGGGTTTCTATCAGACGTGGAGAAAGTTATGAAAGTGGCTGCAAAGAAATAAAGACCACAGAGATAAAACCTTGGACTTCTTCTCGCAACAAGTCAAGAAACCATGAAGATCTTCTGTGAAAACGCTTTGGGTTCCTAAGCAAGAAATCGATCAAGCTATAAACAAGATTATTTGGTCAGGGAAACCAGAAAGAAAAAAGATGAGCTCGCCTGCCTGGTACTTGCCGCACACGGGATTTCTCTGGCCTGGCCTCTCAGGTGAATACTCCGCGGGCAGGCTTCCTAAAACTGAAATAGTATTATTCTATAGCTGCAAACGCGTGAAAATAGCTCACCTCCTAGAGTAGTATACAAAACTGAGAATCGGATTTGCGTGTGCGTGCTCAGTCGACCCTGTAGAGGACCACTTCCTGCTGCTTGAAGTAGCGTCTGTCTTCTTCGTCCACCAGAACGAGGTTGAGGAAGTACTTGACGCTGAACTTGTTGTTGATGTTTCGGTAAGTCGGGGTCAGCTCGTAGGGGCTCAGGAAGAGCCGAATGGGAATGGATTCACCTGAGGAAAAGCATTGTTAGATCTGAAAGGAGAGGGGACCAAAAGACTTGAAGTTCTCACCGCGGACAGGCGCTCCATCCATGATTTCGAACTTTGCAAGTGTTTCACTTTCGTTGTAAGCGTTGGCACCTGAGCCGGTCGACTCTCGCTTTCTAATCTCGATCTCCATATGCTTTATCTTGATGCGGACCAGAAGAAAGTAAATCTTCCCGACGATTACATCCTTTAAGTGGAATCTGGCACAGAAAAAGCACTCACGCTCAGTTGACACAAAGCATGTTTCCATGTATTCAAAACGCACTTGCTCTTATTGTACTCGAATTCGATATGCAAGCAATCCTCGATGCCGACCTCCATCTACAAAGAGAAAAAGCTTTTTTCAAAAGAAAACTATCGATGTTTTCACCTTGATGCTGTTGTTCACGTCGGGGTGCGTTTGAAAGTTTCGAACCTGGAAAAACGAATTGTAAGAGCGATGAAAATGTTTCTCCACAAGTATCAAGTTACCCAGAAATCCTTATATTCCACAATCTTAGGTACGTAGCTGCGAGTTATAGTCACCTTAAGAACATATCTAACAAAACAATCCATTACAAAAAATATCCAAGCCGTGAATTTCTACCTGAGCCTCACGTTGACACCATTGTACGAGTCATATTGCATTTCCACTGACGAAAACTCGAAAGGATAGATTTTCCTCTCGTGAATCACACCCGGAACATCGAGCTCCCTCACTGTAGAACACGAAACGGAAGTATCAGATGACAATCTAGAGCAAAAAACAAACTCACACACCCAAGGAAGTGAAGTCGTAGAAATTCCCTCGGTCGAAGTAAAACTCTGGCAATCCACATACCAAAATCAGCGAAACAAGAGAAACGCAAAAACTAACGCACCTATTTGGCCAAGAAGCTCAATTTTCACTCCTTGATGCTCGATCTTCCGGCCGGGAAGGGGATCGATACGCACCTAAACAGAAAAAAATATTACTAAAAATTGGGAAACAAGGATGATCCAACCGACCTCGCCAGTAACACTCTCCTGGCCCTGGAAAAGAGGCACCATCCCCATCTGGCCATTCTCCTTCTTGATGCTCGCCTGGAAAGACGAAAGATTGCTAAGCTAACCCCGCTAGGTCAAGAACGAGCAAAGGCACAGTCCAGACCTGCTTGCGCGACTCCATGTCGGAGAGATCGATCGAGATGACACACGGCTGACCAAAGGCTCCCGCGAAGAGGCTCTGCATTGCTGCCGCCCTCTCGTGCCCTTGCTCTTTCGCGCTCTAGCTCACAGAAATAGAGAATATTCGAAGCATCTAGGGCTAATGTGCCTTTATCATGTACGTCCATGCCAGATCAGAACATTAAGGTTTGTCTTTCCCGGAAGAAGTACAGAGTTTCACTCTTTGATATATCTCGTCTCCGCCACCTCTGCGTGGAACGAATTTTCAATATACGTTGTTATATCACTTCCAAGATCGTGCCATTATAGCTAGACACTGTTGACAGTAGAAGATGACCTCATCAGACACTAGACACTGTTGACAGTAGAAGATGATGTCATCAAGTGGTTCATCGTCTGCAAACCCAGCACAATCCATATGGTACCATCCAACCTTACACTGCAAAAACCAAAGAATTAGTTCTAGCGATTATAATGAAAACTTACCTCAGCATTGTCACAGAGAATCATTTTTCTCCCATCATCTCTCCCCTAGCAGTTGCAATAAAGCTTGTCATCGATCTCAGGGTTCACTGGCAACCTGTCAACAATGATCCTGTTCCTCTGGTACTCTTTGAAGAGGAGATCCATAATGTGCTTTTGGAGTTCATAAAGATCCCACTCCACGAGAAAGTCATGATTCGGCTCAACATTTGCAGACAACCAGCTTAACGGGAACTTCAAATGGAATTTGTCCCTATTATCCTTGGAGCACACCTTTGGACTAAAATCAATGTCTTTGCGCCTTTTCCCAGCTTCTTTCCAGAAGCAGCTAAGTTTGACGTGTAGAGCATCCAAAGTTCTTTTCGACTTGATTTTAATCCCGATTGCTAGACGGCACCCAACCTGTTCCCATCCCTTAACTTCTGTTTTGAGTGTTTTCACATCCTCATTTTTGTACGCGACTTCAATGACACACCTTGGAAACTCTTCATTGTCAATACTTGAGAAGGAAGCATCTGGTTCTTTGTAACATCCATTTGCTAACTTAAAAGTGGTGTTGCCCTTAGTGCGAACTAATTTGTGGAACCTTGGCACATCCTTTTCTGGAAAGTGAGTTGCAAAGAAGTTAGTTGCTTGTTCCACCACTTCAACAACAAACCACGAAGTTGTCACTTCATGCACTTCAGAAGGGTCACCGAAGAGATAAATTGTCCCAAACTCTCCTCCCTCAAGCTCGTAAAAGAATCCCAATCTCCAACAAGTCTCCATTGAAAGAGACCAGATCTCCCAGGTGTCACTAGACACATGACAAAGGGCCCATTGCCAATCCCTGACGCACTTACTTGTAAGTACCTTGCAACTGCGTGCTTGAATCCTTCATTCAATCGCTTCAATTCCTGTTGTGCCTCCATCTTTTTGTTGTCTTCGAACTTGAAAAGCTGGACAATCCTAAGCTTTTCCTTCAAACCCTAATGTGTTTTAATATACGATATTAAAATAATTTCAACGTGGGTCAACGGAGAAAAACAAACAGGAGGATCAGCCTACTCTTTTCGAATCTAATGCTTCGCAAAGCCCCTGATTTCTCTCCATCTTTTGGTCCCGGAAATGGTGGAGGTACACTTTCCCGATCAAGCGCCTGGAAGGCTGTGCAACAAGAACGAAAATCACATCAATCGCTCACGAATGTATAAACAAAGCAAGAACGAACTTGCCTGTGCTGGAGAGCACCGCACCGCTATCAAAACTTGCCGTCCAGAAGAAAAACCCACGCATCTCTTTGCTCTTGAGAAACTCCACCTTCTTCTCGATCGATGCCTGGTTATCGAATCCCACCCACAAATCCCCAGCAAACGCGTACGCGCTGCTCGTCTCGCCATCGTCTACCACTGTCGCGTTCTTCGACCGGATGAACTCCTGGATCTCGCTGTAGAACAAGACCCCCGTCTCGGCACTTCCACCCGGCATAGCCGGCCCGGGCCCCCGCGCAGCAGCACCGACGCCGTGATCCAGCGACGAGTTTGCCAGCAGCCACGATCGCCCAACGCGGCCAAGCCCATCACCGCCTTGTGAGGAGGAAGCCCGCCATCCAGCCACGATTGGATGCCATAGCTGGAGCTTAGATTTGACGAGAGATCTGTGAGAGCCGAGTGCTCGCCGGTGAGAGGTGGCTCCCAGGCCGTGGTAGTCGTAGCACATGATGTTCGCCCAGTCGAGTGTTCTAGCCATGGTTTGTACTGGGTACTCGTAGCGCATGCCCGGAATCGAAGGGTCCATGGCCATGGTGCTGTAGTACACCGCTGCAGTGAGTAGCAATCGGTTGCGATACGTCGACTGTGCCTCGAAGACGATTTCTTTGGCGGAGCTCGGAGAAGAGCGAAGCTATGTTGGTCATATCGGCTGGCGAGTGAGGGAATTCCAAGTCCACGTCGATGCCATCAAACCTGGAAAGTGATCACACAAAGCTAGATCTATTCTTCCAAGAACTCCGGAAGATAGTGTTAACTTACCCGTAACTTCATAATGCTACTCCGCACGAATTCGCCCCTGCTGGAGCCATCTGCGAGAAGAACGTCGTGTTGGCCCCGGCGCCACCTATCGAGAGGAGGGTCTTGACCAGGCTCGTACACTCTCGCGCGATATCGATGTTCTCCACCGGGATTTCCACCCGGAAAGTTGTGCTGTTGACACTCGCGAACGCGAAGCAGAGGTGTGTGTACACGTCTGTGCTGAGATCCGATGCTCTTGACGACTTGAAGTTCTCACCACGGACAGGCGCTCCATCCATGATTTCGAACTTTGCAAGTGTTTCGCTTTTGTTGTAAGCGTTGGCACCTGAGCCGGTCGACTCGCACTTTCTAATCTCCATCTCCATATGCTTTATCTTGATGCGGACCAGAAGAAAGTAAATCTTCCCGACGATTACATCCTTTAAGTGGAATCTGGCACAGAAAAAGCACTCACGCTCAGTTGACACAAAGCATGTCTCCACGTATTCGAAACGCACTTGCTCTTACAGTATTCGAATTCGATATGCAAGCAATCCTCGATGCCGACCTCCATCTACAAAGAAAAAAAGCTTTTTTAAAAAGAAAACTATCGATGTTTTCACCTTGATACTGTTGTTAACGTCGGGGTGCACTAGAAGTTTTCGAACCTGGTAAAAACAAAGCGTAAGAGCGATGAATGTTTCTCCACAAGTATCTCATTACCCAGTATTCCACAATCTTAGGTACGTAGCTGCGAGTTATAGTCACCTTAAGAACATATCTGGCAAAACAATCCATTACAAAAAATATCCAAGCCGTGAATTTCTACCTGAGCCTCACGTTGACACCATTGTTACGAATCATATTGCATTTCCACTGACGAAAACTCAAAAGGATAGATTTTCCTCTCGTGAATCCCGGAACATCGAGCTCCCTCACTGTTAAACACGAAACGGAAGTATCAGATGACAATCTAGAGCAAAAAACAAATTCACACACCCAAGGAAGTGAAGTCGTAGAAATTCCCTCGGTCGAAGTAAAACTCTGGCAATCCACAAACCAAAATCAGCGAAACAAGAGAAACGCAAAAACTAACGCACCTATTTGGCCAAGAAGCTCAATTTTCACTCCTTGATGCTCGATCTTCCGGCCAGGAAGAGGATCGATACGCACCTAAACAGAAAAAAAAATTACTAAAAATTGGGAAACAAGGATGATCCAACCGACCTCGCCAGTAACACTCTCCTGGCCCTGGAAAAGAGGCACCATCCCCATCTGGCCATTCTCCTTCTTGATGCTCGCCTGGGAAAGACGAAAGATTGCTAAGCTAACCCCGCTAGGTCAAGAACGAGCAAAGGCACAGTCCAGACCTGCTTGCGCGACTCCATGTCGGATCGAGATGACACACGGCTGACCAAATGCTCCCGCGAATTGCTGCCGCCCAGAAATAGAGAATATTCGAAGCATCTAAGGCTAAGGTGTCTTTATAGGTTTGTCTTTCTAGGAAGAAGTATAGAGTTTCACTCTTTGATCATATCTCGTCTCTTTTCAGTGTATTTTTATGCTTTGTATCACTTCCACACTATAGCTAGACACTGTTGACAATAGAAGATGACGTCATCAAGTGGTTCATCGTCTGCAAACCCAGCACAATCCAAATGGTACCATCCAACCTTACACTGCAAAAACCAAAGAATTAGTTCTAGCGATTATAATGAAAACTTACCTCGGCATTGTCACAGTGAATCATTTTTCTCCCATCATCTCTCCCCTGGCAGCTACAATAAAGCTTGTCATCGATCTCAGGGTTCACTGGCAATCCATCAACAATGATCTTGTTCCCCTGGTACTCTCTGAAGAGGGCAGTCATAATGTGCTTTTGGAGTTCGTAGAGATCCCACTCCACGAGAAAGTCATGCTTCGGCTCAACATTTGCAGACAACCAGCTTAACGGGAACTTCAAATGGAATTTGTCCCTGTTATCCTTGGAGCACACCTTTGGACTAAAATCAATGTCTTTGCGCCTTTTCCCAGCTTCTTTCCAGAAGCAGCTGAGTTTAACATATAAAGCATTTGAGGTTTTTTTTTACTCGATTTTAATCCTAATCGCCTGATGGCACCCAGTTTATTCCCATCCTTTAACTTCTTCTTTGAGCATTTCCACATCCTCATTTTTGTATGCGACCTCAATAACACACCTTAAATACTCTGCATAGTCAATACTCGAAAAGAAAGCATTTGGTTCTTTGTGAGATTCATTTGCTAGCTTGAAAGTGGTGCTGCCTGCAACAAATACCAATTCACGGAACCTTGGCACATCCTTTGCTGGAAAGTGAGTCGCAAAGAAGTAGCTGCTTGTTCCGACACTTCTAGAACAAACCACGAAGCTGTTGCCTCATGCAAACTGGAAGGGTCACCAAAGAGATAAACTGTCCCAAACTCTCCTCTGTCGAGCTCATAAAAGAATCCCAATCTCCAACAAGTCTCCAACAAGTCTCCATTGAAAGAGACCAGATCTCCCAAGAGTCGTAGGACACAGTCTCTGCGACAACAAAAGGCCCATGGCCAACCCCTGACACACTTACTTGTAGGTACCTTGCAACTGCATGTTTGAATCCTTCATTCAGTTGCTTCAATTCCTGTTTTGCTTCCATTTTCTTGTTGTCTTCGAACTTGAAGCCACTGAGAAGTTGGATAATTTTCTTTTCTTCTACCTCTGAGCTTTTCATCTTTTCTAGTGCACACACCACCGCGCAAGAACTCTTGAAACCCTAATGTGCCACCTTAACCCTAATCTCTGATGACGTGTCGCTACTAATGTGGCGTGTATACGTGTACGAATTAATATTGAGAATATCAACGCCATTCCGTCAACGGAGAAGATTGGGAAAAGCAAACAGGAGGATCCACAAGACTAGCCTACACTTTTCGAATCTAATGCTTCGCAAAGCCCCTGATTTCTCTCCATCTTTTGGTCCTGGAAATGGTGGAGGTACACTTTCCCGATCAAGCGTCTGGGAGGCTGTGCAACAAGAACGAAAATCACATCGAATGTATAAACAAAGCAAGAAAGAACTTGCCTGTGGTGGTGAGCACCGCGCCGCTATCAAAACTTGCCGTCCAGAAGAAAAACCCACGCATCTCTTTGCTCTTGAGAAACTCCACCTTCTTCTCGATCGATGCCTGGTTATCGAATCCCACCCACAAATCCCCAGCAAACGCGTACGCGCTGCTCGTCTCGCCATCGTCTACCACTGTCGCGTTCTTCGACCGGATGAACTCCTGGATCTCGCTGTAGAACAAGACCCCCGTCTCGGCACTTCCACCCGGCATAGCCGGCCCGGGCCCCCGCGCAGCAGCACCGACGCCGTGATCCAGCGACGAGTTTGCCAGCAGCCACGATCGCCCATACGCGGCCAAGCCCATCACCGCCTTGTGAGGAGGAAGCCCGCCATCCAGCCACGATTGGATGCCATAGCTGGAGCTTAGATTTGACGAGAGATCTGTGAGAGCCGAGTGCTCGCCGGTGAGAGATGGCTCCCAGGTGCCGTGGTAGTCGTAGCACATGATGTTCGCCCAGTCGAGTGTTCTAGCCATGGTTTGTACTGGGTACTCGTAGCGCATGCCCGGAATCGAAGGGTCCCTGGCCATGTTGCTGTAGTACACCGCTGCAGTGAGTAACAGTCGGCTGGGATACGTCGACTGCGCCTCGGAATCGATTTGTTGGCGGAGCTCGGAGAAGAGCGAAGCTATGTTGGTCATGTCGGCTGCCGAGTGAGGGAATTCCCAGTCCACGTCGATGCCATCAAACCTGGAAAGCGATCACACAAAGTCAGATCTATTGTTCCAAGAACTACGGAAGATAGTGTTAACTTACCCGTAAGTTCGTGCCAAGGCGATGCTACTCCGCACGAATTCGCCCCTGCTGGAAATGTTGCTCGCCATCTGCGAGAAGAACGTCGTGTTGGCCCCGGCGCCACCTATCGAGAGGAGGGTCTTGATGAGCGGATTCTTGCTCTTGGCCAGGCTCGTAAACTCTCGCGCGACATCCATCGTCTCCACCGGGATTTCCACCCGGAAAGTTGTGCTGTTGACGTTCGCGAACGCGAAGCAGAGGTGCGTGTACAAGTCTGTGCTGAGATCCGATGCTGGGAACATCTGCGAGGCGTAGGATGGCCAGTAACCAACCTTGACTTTGTCCCATTTCTCATCTCCGGGTGGTGAGCTCTGCGGTGCTTTCGCTGGTGCTCCTACGGGTCCTCCTACGGGTGCTACCGCGGGTGCTCTCGCAGGTGCTTGTTGAGCTTCCGCTAAACCGGGATCAAAACGGAAGAATGCGACGCTCAGAACTGCAAAACATATTACAAGCGAGTTGATCATCATCTTGATCCGCGTTTGGAAAGAATGGACAACAGAAAAGTCACACTTATGCTGTTTACCTCGTGTGGACCAGGATGAAGACGAACACAGGGGTTCCCGATGGCCTGCCGGTTAGTCACAAGGAGACAATAACTAGGATCCAAATGACAACGCCGCAGCAACAGTAGGATGTTCTTAATAATAAATCGAAACTCAAAACAGTTGTTACTTGTCTGTAGCTGAAACAACAAATTGTCTTCCAATTTGGAGAGGAGACTTCAATCTTCTGTCAAAACTATTTGTACCTGTGACAAAGAACAGAAAAGCTTAGCTATCGCACTGTGCTTGATTAAAGAACGCTCACCTTCTTTTTTCTGGCCATGGAATTTTTACTTTCAAGTTGAACGTCTTGAAGACCTTTCATAGGTCTGATCCGAGAGTAGCGCTTGAGTTTTAGAGTCTCAAACCACATCCCCCAGAAAGTCACTGACCATCCCTGGAAACAAACACAGACAAAAAGCTAAAGTCAAAAGAAAGAACAGGCAAGAGAAAGAACAGACCTCGTCAAAGAGATCCACCACAGCTTCCAAGCACTTCTTCGTGATGTCGCTCGAGAAGGCCTTCATCGGTCCGGATATGTGAAGAGTGCCGTCCTCCCTCACCTGCGAGTAAGGCTCCGTTATCTCGTCGCCCCTCAAGCACCAGAAGACGATCGCAAACGCCCTCTTCACCTTCGCGATCACGGCGTTCTCAATGTCGGGCACGGACGCTCCGCGAGCAAAGGCAATGTCCTGCGCTGAGATCTGCCAGCGAAACGAGACCTGGGCCTCCACCATCATCTCGTCTCTCGAGCACGCAACCAGGTCGGACGCAGTCGTCTTGCGGATCTTGAGCGACTCGAATCCAGCGAAAACTTCCACCTTGGATATGTCAATCAAATGCCTACACGCATCTGTCACAAACGTAAGACTAGAAACTGGAAAGAACACACAGACGAACGAACCTGCCGGCGTAGAGCAAGTGTGGCTTGCGGTTGCAGTACTTGATGCCAACCTCGTCTTCTCTCACGGTGACCACTCGGTACGGCCCCAGCGCCACCTCTTTGTGAGAAGAATCCCGGTCATCGGCAGTGGTATACGCAAAGGACGAGCAGGAAAGTACGTGAACTCCGGGTTCCAACACCTTGGCTTGTCCGTCAATCCATGCCACTCCAAGCTTTCCTTCCAGGATAGAAACTCTGTGGAGATAGCCGTGATGGAGGACTCTGGTGCTCTCCAACGCGAGCTCTTGGAGCGAGAACGAGGACGTCGCTGGAAAGGTGTAGGACTTGGACGTCAGCAGCAGGGGCTCGGTGTCGAGCCAGGCGAGGCCGATCATCCCCGGAGGAACGTGAACCGAGAGCTCGTCCGAGGAAGAGAGCTTGAAAGATCTTAATGGCGTAGCTCCAGATCTTCTACCACCGTTGCTCACACAGCAAGGGCCCGGGGTGGCGGGTGTAGCAGTAGTGGCAGCCAGTGACTCTCTCTTCGAGAACGAGGAAGAATGCTCTGGGTGGTGCTGCCGCAGTGGAGAAAGCGTGGATTTCTTCGCGCAGCAATTGGACGAGTTGGAATTCGTCGAGGCAGTGGTGTCTTGCGACAGCTTCCGAGAGTGACCACCAGGACTTTTTGGAGATCCAGTGGAATGGTGGCAGCAATTCGCTGGCCTGTGACAGCACCCGCGGCAAGCCAGCCATCCAGACATTCTCGCCACCATCCTCCAGTTGTGGACGCCCTTCCTCACCACGTCGAGAACATCGCAGTGGCGATCAATGTCGTCGCAAGTCCCAATGAGCTGCCCCAAAATTCCATGGCCGTGGCGCGCAGACTCGGCCCTGGCGGGCAAAGATCTGTCCTCCCCCTCCTCCTTGCGCGAGGGCGAGCCATTGCTCGACGGAGACGCAGATTTCTCCTCGCCGGAGCCTCGATCCGGCCCGGGACTGTCCCCGCTCGCTGCCTCCTCTTGCAAATTACATCCGGTTTCCACTAGTTCTACGATCTCCGAAATGGAGCTAGAGCTAGCCGAATCGACCTCCCAGCATTTCGTTACCTCCGGCATGGGGAGCTCCAGAACCTCTTGCTGCTGCGAATCTCCTCGATCCACCACGTCGAAGCTGAAACCAGATCCGGCGCTGCAGAGACGCAGTGGCATCGGATGCAAATCCGCGCTCGGCGCGCAGGGAAACGAGAATGTAGGTGATGCGTCGGACTCGGAGGAAGAATCTGGCAGCGCCTCCAGAGGATCTTCCTCGAGCGCCATCGACGAAACGAAGAACCCTAAAATCTCACTATCCCGAGATCGGTTGGTCAAAAGGCCTGACAGCAAGGCCATCGGTGTCTGGCCAGTGACACCGCGGCACATCAGCCTTTCCAGTCCGCCACGTCCCCAAAAGATTCATAGACCACGTGGCACCATCTGGGTTCCATTACCACGGCAAAAATCTCAGCCGTTGGCTCAACTCAAACACAGAGCTTGGCATCCATCATTGCGCTGGATACGATTCCCTCGAGATTTTCCTTTTGCATAAGGCGCTCGTCCCGTACCTACCAAAATAAGCGATAGAAATGGCGTGGCTTGATAGCTATATCACTAACCTTGGTCATGCACGTGGTGAAGATTTGGCCCTGGAAGGTGTTGACGCTAGCGCCCAGCACCTCCAAATCTAGCGACTCTAGGGCGCCAACGATGTCCGCTAGTACGGTCGGGCAGCACCGGAATCGAACCAGGCACGTCCTGTTACATTCGTCCAGTTTCTCCACGTCTATCTGTGTCGACACTTTTAAATGCGATGATAAGGGCATCGTCTCTGATGCCGAAGAGATTCTCTCGTTCTCTTACCTGGAGGCTCGCTAGTTTGTGATCTCGCCGATCGCCGCTGTGATGATCGTCCTCGAGCGATGGCGAGGGCGACGCCGGGGACGCGGTCGTCAGCGATGAATTGGGGGAGCGGTGATCCTCTTCGATGGCACTGATCTCTCTCCGCATCGCCGAGACCTGCGATTTGAGCTCCTCGACATAGCCGATGGCGTCGGCCATGATGGACGCCTTGTCCATCTGTCAGAAATCCCCAAAGATCGTTACTCCATCCATCAATCAATCGAGAGAGAGAAAGAGAGGATAGAAATGTGAGAGATTTCCCTCACCTTCGTGATCTTTGGGACGAGAGCGCGAAGCGAGTAGAGCTTCTCGTTGAGCTTCTGCCGGCGCTTGCGCTCCGAGAGGAGATTCTTGGAGAACTTCCTCTTGTTCCTCGAGGAACCGCGGCTGTCGTGCGTCGTCTCGTCATCGCTCAGGCTCTGCTCGAACAACTCCGGCGATCCCGCATTAGCCTCGCCGCTGCGATCGCCCTTCTCCACCTCCGCCCCCGGATTGCTCATCTGATCCTCAAACATTTGCTCCAGCAGCTGATCCGAGGAACCCGACTCCACATCGAACAGATCGAGGTCATAAGATTCCAGCGAGCTCATTAGCCACAAGAAAAGAAGAAATCCACTGGAAGGATCTCCTACCTTGCAGAGCAGCACCCAAGAACCCTAGAGCCAAGGAAAGAAAAACCCTGCATTACGGCATATCCTCGCGGAATTTCTCCCATTCTTTTTTCCATTTTCTTAACTGCAAAGTTGACTATGTGGCCAATAGCCTTTAATGTCGAGAACACAACTGTACAATTTACATGCGCCATCCCCATGCACCACACGGCCTTTAAAAAAAAAGGTGGTACAAGCTAGGCGACAAAAAAGTATGAATCACGTTCTTTCAACTTTCCTTAATAATATAATTTAGTCAACGATGTTAGTCAAAGTGTGCCACGCTGGCCTTTTACAAAGAGGGAGTGGCGATGAACCACCACCACTGTCACCACATCACCACCAAAAGAAGGCGTCCAAAATCATTCACACCCTAGTAAATTGGTTGCATGGTGATGGTTCTTCCCCCTCTTATGAAACCATGGACGATCACCAAGAACACCACGGCACTGCTTGTCACCGCGAGAAGATCAAGGGCGGCAGCGTCCCCGTCTACGTTGGCCATGGCAACCCGGAGCGCTTCCTCGTCAAGCTCAAGCTCATCAATCACCCCCTGTTTCGAAAGCTCCTGGAGCTGACCGAGGAAGAGCTGGGCTTTTGCGACAACTGCCGCCTCGTCGTTCCCTGCGACGCTCACGTCTTCCAGAGGGTTATCGCTCGCATCGATGCCGAGGAGAGCGGGAGAAAGCTGCGCCCCGCCGAGGAGGAACTCCTCGGCCTCTTTGATTCCATCCCCGGTTCCTCGTAATTAGCTCGTTGGAGTAACGCTTCCGGAACTTGAAAGGCTCGTTCTCCTGTGTTGTAACTGATGGGAGAACGATGAAAAGAAAGTAGAATGCAAATAGACTTACTTGTCTTGTATAAACATAAGATTAGTCTTGTGTGTGCCGTGTTGTATTTTTGTTATACTTCTTAAAAGCCAGAGCTTGAGTGGCAGCAGGGTTCAAAGGGCTCCCTGCGTTGGAGCTTGATCGGCTGCTGTGTTGAGTTCTGCTGAAACTCTTTAGTACGCTTGAAGCACTGCTGCTCCTACTGCTGCTACTGTCTTGGGAGAGATCTCCTATCAATAGAATACTAACTGGAGAACCATTGAGAAGTCCACTGCTGCTAGAGCTTAAGCTTGTGTCTGAGAGCGAGTCTCCTTCCAAAAGACGAAGCACCTGGTGAAAAAGACACGTTAAGCTGTGAAGCACACAGCATGTAAAGATCTGACCTGAGACATTCGAGGACGAATCAAAGGATCGGGGTCAATGCAAAGAGTGGCCGCAAGGAGCATGTTTTCCACCTCGTTTACACAAAATCTTCCCCGAAGCCGCTGATCAATCAGTTTCTCATACTTCTGCTCTCGAAGAAATGGTCGTGCCTGCATTCAACAAGATTAGATGCAGCAAACTTCATTACTTATGGACTTACCCATTCCGACAAGCACATCTCTCCTTTGTTGCGAGATAAATCCACAGCCTTCCGACCACTTACAAGCTCCAGGAGCACGATGCCAAAAGAGTAAACATCGGCTTTCTCTGTGATTTGTCCTGTTTGAGTATACTCAGGTGCCAAGTACCTACAGCTCCAGTGTCACCAAAGAATGAAGGCAAGGAAAAAAAACACAGCAAGAGTTACCCGAAAGCGCCAATGACTCTTGTCTCTACTCCGAGTTCTCCATTGGGTTGCCATCTTGCAAGTCCAAAATCTCCCACCTGATGCTCAGACAAGTGAGTCGGACTATCCTATCGAATAGAAACTGAGACAAGAACTTACCATTGGCTCGAAGTCGTGGGTTAACAGAATGTTGTTTGGTCGCACGTCACGATGAACAATACATCCCACTCGGCACTCTTCATGTAAGTACCTCAAAGCTCGCGCGGCACCTAGCGCGATTTTCTGGCGAGCCGGCCATTCCAGAGTCACTGTTTTAGACCGCCTGCCATACAGGTGCGAATCCAGCGAGCCATTGCAAACGAACTCGTAAACGAGCAGCCTCTTCTTGTCTTCAGCGCAGTAGCCGATCAGCATCACCAAGTTTCGCTGCTGAGCACAGCTGAGAACTTCGACTTCCGCGCAGAATTCTTTGTCGCCCTGCGTGCTAGCCAGCTTATGCTGTTTGACAGCAACGGCTTGGCCATCAGGGAGCCTGCCCCTGTAAACTGAACCGTATCCACCTTCTGCGAGAAAGTTCACGTCCGAAAAGCCACCGGTTGCAAGTTGCAGCTCTGCGAAAGTGAATTTCCTGGGCGGCTTGCCGAAGACAGGCGTTTTGTGCTGGCAAATGGAGCATAAAGGAGGAGGCTGCGGAGACGACTGCTTTCTCAGATGGATCTGCTTTCGGACGCTGGACACTCGATCTACTGGCCTCGATACGTTTCTTTGCGTATCCGTTTCCTCGGTATACTCCCGGCTTTCCTTCATTCGCAAGAAGTCATTAAGAACTTGTGGTTTATGGCTAGCTGGTGATGGAGTTGTGCTGTTCAGCACTTCTGATGGCGGACCTGCAAAGCAATGGTTAAAACGGAATAAGAGCGAGCGAGCGTCCTACCTTTTCTACGGGTTTCATTTTTCAGCAACTCTTCTAAAACTGAAAGCTCGAATTTCGGTGCCGTCACAAGTCGTGAATCCGGGCTACTGGCCTCTGAGCTGGATGTCGAGCTCTCCCAGTACAGCTGATCGAAGCCCTTGGGCATCACAGACAGGCTCAGTCCATTCAGAAGAACGGATGACGAGTCGATGGATTCTTCTTCATCGTACGGCAAATCACGTCTTTTGAGATTCAGCCTCAGGATTTTTGGATTGCTGCGATGCACAACGACGATATTGCTGTTAAGCTCTTGCAGGCAAAGCTTACCCTCGCTCTTTAGATTCCTGGCGTGAAAAGGACTGTCACAGTAAACACCATCATACTTCCAACTTAGAAGACGTACCTATCAAGCACCACCCAAGTTGCCCGGAATCTCTTGGCCTCCGATGGAATGACTCCTCTACGAGCAAACTGGAGGATTTCTAGTGTCGTATGCACCTATGCTCACGAGATAGAATCTATAACTTAGCTCGACCATACCGAAATATAAAAAAACAAGCTCACCTTTTTAAGATCGTGGATTTTTCGGAGCTTCTCCATCACCATGGAGCATTTGTTCCGAATTTCTTCGAGCTCTTCCTTCCTAGTGGCTTTGAGCGACGCAGCCGCTGCTGCTGCGCATTCTCCACCAAGCGCAGGAAATCCCCAGCTCTTCCAAACTGGAAAGCATCGAATGAGACTTTAAATCTAAGCGTATGGTCGACTGTTACCAGAATCTGAGGAATTGCTAGTGCTGCTGGCGGGCGCAATCGCCTGGAACACGATCCTATCGCCTGGATGAACCACGAGATTTGCTAGAGCCCAGTTTAGAGCATAGTCGGTCATCTTCTTGCTCGCGTCAACCGCGACGAGCACGATTTCTCGCTGAGACTCTTCGTCTGAGCTTTCCTGTGAACTGCTCACATCCATGACCTTGACTCGATTTAGCGGAAGGAGCTGAAATCTCTCCATTGCTCCAGCCGTGACAAGAAGAAGAAGGGGAAAGGAGGATGCAAAGACTGGATCTTCACTGGAGCCCGGAATGCATGCGAGAGATCACAAAGCCCTAAGGGATCGATGCAAGGCATCTCTCATCCAGCTGCCGATCGACCGCTGCGAAATCGAAATGCCGCCCTTCGATCCCGAAATATTTCGCGCACAATCCCCTAGAACCAGGAGCCGATCGATGTGCGATCGATCGGGCGGGCCAAGAACCGATAGCAATGCGATGGATCGATCGAGGAAGATGCCGGCGCCTCCTTTCTCCCCAATGCTTGCCCTCGCCACAACAAAGGAAGAGCGCAAAAGAAAAACCAAAAAGCTTGTCGTTTGAGCTATAGCTCTGCCGGCCCGCGCGATTGGGCACACGCGGTCAAGCGCACGGTTTGAGTGAAAGAGAAAACCTCGCGGTGCCAAACACGCGCTAAATCATGCGTCGCCATCGCCGGCCGTGCCGCGCGGCACGACCCAATGGCACTGCCGGCACCGAGCGCCACCGCGCGGTATACCACCCGCTAAGCGTAGCGTCAAAGCACAGCAAACTGTTAGGTGATCAATCACTCTCTGCCGATGACGAAAGTAACAACAAATTTCCTTGACAAATTCACACTGCTTTGTCCGATTTCCATGAACAGTTCTTCCGAAATCTCCGGGAGAACTTTCCATCGAGAAACTTCTCTCATCACACGACTCAAGAGTTTATTCCCTGGAACGCGATGATCCATCACCCACAAGATCTAATGGATTGTGCCCACTCTCACTTTCCACTCCTCGGCACTCCTCTCTTGCTCTTCCCGCAAGATGGGATTAGTCCTCAATTGCTCCTCTCTCATTCGTTTCTTCTCTTGCCGGAGCTGCCTCGCCTTCTCGATCTGTTCTTCCTGGAGAAGACCCACAAGAAAAATTTCTCTTGGGAGATCCAAATTTAACTCGCTTACCCTCGTGTACTTCAATTCCCTGACCCAATCTTTGTGGGCGATGTAGTAAGTGAGCGCAAAGTATGTGCCAATCGTGAGCCCAGCATACTGGTACAGCCTGATCATCACCATCTTGCCCAAGCGCGAGAGAAATCGAAGAACCCTAAAATTTCCTGCCCCACAAAACTTAGGGTTCCTGGGCGACTATTTGGACAAGTCGAGCTTGCTTCTCTTTCCCTTGCTCGATTCGCCGCCTTCGGATTGTGATCGTTTCTTGGACAAAGACTTGCTGCGCTTGCTAGATTCTCTGGTGATCCCGCTCTTTTCCTGATCGGATACAGCACCCACAGACGCGATCTCTGCTCGAAAGTTTTTGTGAGATCTTCGTTCTGGGAGAAAAATTCTCGTACCTTCCGCGTGATTTGGAGCAGCATCCACGTTCTCGGCAGCAACAGGATGAGCAATTGTCGGCTCGACGCTCCTCACAATGCTCACTTCCACCGGCACTGGCCTCACTAAAATCCATAGCAAAAGCTTTAGAAACTCAAAAGAAACTCTGCGAGATCTATCTCACCTTCGATCTTGTCTTGAGTTGGAACATAGGCGTACTTACTGCTCCCTTGAATGTCGTGTCTTTGAAAGCTATACTTCACTCCTGCCGATGATCCGCGAGAGCTTCTCATCAAGAACAACGAAAAACTATGAATTTCTATCTACCATTGCATACCAAATGCCCCATATTGCCATCGGCGGCCTCGAGCTTCAATCTCCAGCTCGTATTCGACAGCTCCTCGAGATCTAGCTGCCACGAAACAATCAGACCTCACTCACGCATTCGCGATTTCGACTCACATCGGGGAGCCGAAGCAGCCACAGCTCCTTGTTAGGATCCAAGGCCTCGTCCAGCAGCGGCTGCATTGCCTCCACGCGCTGGAACGACCGCGGCGCCTCGTAGCTGCAAGACAAGTGGCCGAATCAATCGCGAGTGAGAGCCAAAGATCAACACTCACGGCGCCGGCGCAGCGTCCATAGCTCTTTCCATCATTCAAGAGCCCTAAAACTTTCAAAACCCAAGAACCCTAAAACACTTTCCCAAAGGCTTTCAACTATTTACATCTCGGCGGATAACTTTTCTTTCTCGCGCGCCGCTTGCTGCTGGATCCCATAGAGCCGGAAGAGATGATACGCCGAAATGCCCACCACCACGAAAGAAACGAGCGCAGCGATGAAGCAAATTACAACCGAGATCGCGTAAACCGTGCAGAAGTAGCCGAAAGCGTTGCAAACTTTTCTCCACAGCACCGCCGGAGCTCCTTCCTCGGCCAGGTATCCAATCTCGGTTGCCACTGCGGCGCCGCTGAGCAGGAGATAACCCATCATCTGGAAGAAGAAAAACAGAGTGAGAGATTGTCTCAAACACGATCAAAGTAAGAGTGGATCAAACACGATCCTGGAGGAACTTTAAGAAACATGGATCAATGAAAAGGAATTCTTCTAGCAGCAGCGATTAAAGAACGAGGAATTGTCCGAGTAGCAGCGATTTGACAGGCAGAGGAGAAAAAAGATGTCTGTTCGATCACAGCCGAGGATGATAATCAAATCAAAGGAAAGAAATCCTTTTGATCATTTGCAGCTCGGCAGAGAAGCATGGACACACGACAAAAGCACTCACGAGGATCGTACATTAACATTTCACGCGATTCACGGGCCTATCAAACTTCAATCACGGGGCTCGGGAAGGACTACGGAGATAGCGAGCAACTTGGGACGATCGAGAAGTAGCAAACTTGAAGAACACTGGAAGGAGAACGTACACAAGAACTTTCGAAAGCAAAAGCGAGCATTAAATTCTAGAAACTGACCGAGTCTGCGATGAAAGAGATCCAGGCAACGCTTTTGCAATCCACCACTGTTCCCTTGGTCGCAACGAGGCCGATGTTGAAAAGAAGATGGAGCACTGTGTAGCCGATCACTACTCCCAGCGCATCCACATAGAACCTGGGAGAGAATCAAAATCGAGGGAACAGAGCTCTCGCGGCAGAGAAAGAGGGAAAAGAGGAGAACTTACTTGAGACCAGTGACGAGCTCATACTTCGCGGTTTTAGTGACGAAGACGGGCCTTGGGAGGCCGAAGAACGGAAGAGGGACTGAGCCGGTCTCTCGATCGGTGACCATGAGAGCCTCCGAGATGATCACCAGAACCAGCAAGAAGCTCCTCAGTAGGATGATGCTAATCCGGAACTCGTGCTCGTGATCGCCCATTTTCCTGTCGTCGCCCACTGGACTGCCGCCGGCACTGCCATTCATCGCCTTGCTCGAAGAATCCATCGCGGCGAGTAAAACAAAAGCTTCTCTTCTCGCGATCAGCAGCCACTGGTAAATGCCGAGACTGGAGCCGTGCTGCTAGAGGGTCATGTCGATCGATTGATATGATAGATATTTTCCTCCCAGAAATTCCACGCGACAAGCGGACGGTAACCTCAAGAGTGATGAGCAAAGAGGATGAGGAACACCGATCGCTCGCCTACGGCTCGATCGTGCGGCGGAGGATTGGGAACGAGAGAATCCATGTGGAGCAATGAATTCGCGCGCTCGTCCAGCTCGTCCTGCCATTCAATGCTGTCGCCCATCTGTCGCGAGCACAAAACAAAAAGAAGACGAAGACCTAAAAAGAGGAAAAGATTCGATAGCACATTCTTTTTGGCGCGAGCCGCCAGGTAATATACCGGCAGTCAAATCACGGCCGTTAGCTGCCGGGATATTCGCTAGGCTTTTCTCTCCTCCTCGATAAGGGGCGCTTGCGTGTCGAAGATCCGAGGCGCCAGCCCTAGGGCGTCACTGCGCGCTCCTCCATCGATCCGCGCCATGGTAAGACGCTTCCAGGGGAGTGGGATCGTCCCGGGGTTAGGGTTCTTGTAGGATGGACAGCGCGATCTAGAGAGATTTCCGGGGCAGCGGCAGTGAGAAATGGGAGCTGTGACGTCCACTGTGGCTGCCAAGTTCGCGTTTTTTCCCCCGAATCCGCCATCGTATAGGGTAGTCAAGGACGAGGTGACTGGGAATTTGATGCTCTCGGATGTGCCGCGCAGCGATTCCGTGGATGTGAGAATTTTGAGAACCAAGAGGGGGCAGGATATCGTGTCCCTCTATATCAAAAACCAGGAGGCTCGTCTCACGCTTTTATACTCCCATGGCAACGCTGCGGACTTGGGCCAAATGTATGAGCTCTTCCTTGAGCTAAGCCGTCACCTACGAGTAAATCTCATGGGGTAAGCTTCTTCTCTTCTCTTGCGTTGTTTTTCTTTTTCCTTTCTGTTCTTCATGGTTTTGAGCTCATAGTTTACTTCTGGAAGTGTTTGCGTTTTTTTTTTCGTTTTTGTGCCATGGTTAAAGCTCTGGCTTTTTCTTTGCTCTTTATTGGATTGAGTGGACTGTGTCTGTGGCAGCTATGATTATACAGGGTATGGAGCGTCCACTGGAAAGGTAAATCTCCCAGCCAGGTTTTGTCCGAAGAACTTTGTCTTTTGACAGTTTCTCTTTTGTGAGCTCGCAGCCGACGGAGTTTAACACGTATGCTGACATTGAGGCGGTCTACGAGTGCCTGGAGCGCGACTATGGTGTCAAACAGGAGGACCTTGTCCTGTATGGACAGTCCGTTGGGAGTGGACCGACACTCGACTTGGCAGCGCGACTGCCAAGGCTCCGGGCTGTAGTTCTTCACAGCCCGATTCTATCTGGACTGCGAGTAATGTATCCCGTGAAGCGCACGTACTGGTTTGACATCTACAAGGTACTTTGTTGTTTTCTCTTTTCACTCTTCCCAGCACGCAAGCTCCGCTCACTGCTTTTTTTTGTTTTCGCGCAGAATATCGACAAGATAGGCCAAGTTAACTGTCCAGTTCTCGTGATTCATGTAGGTGATGGGATGGAAGGGATTAGTTCCATTCCATTCCCTCTGAGAGTTTTCTTTGTCCTCTTTTGATTCTCTTTGCGTGTTTCGGCAGGGGACCTCGGATGACGTTGTGGATTGCTCGCATGGAAAGCAGCTCTGGGACCTCTGCAAAGAGAAGTACGAGCCGCTGTGGCTCAAGGGCGGTGGCCACTGCAATCTGGAGCTGTATCCGGAGTACATCCGGCACCTCAGGAAATTCATCTCCACGCAGGAGAAAGCGGCGTTGGGAAGGAACCGATCGAGCAGGAAGAGCACAGATCAACAAAGTGAGCGAACACTGACTTGCTAAAAGAGCCAGACGATCGAAACCAAACGAAAAGCAAAAGAGAATACCATGCTAACTTTTTAAGTGCGGGTGTGTTCATTCGTTCATTTGTTTGTGTAAATACATAGCTTGTGATACACTTATTATTCCAGAGCTATATTCTTTGTGTCTTTTGGGAAAGCTGACGAGATGGAAAAAGAGAGGAATCTACGGCCCAAAACTTTAGTCCTTGTCTCTATGGGACAAAAAATTCTCCCCGTGCTTCACAGTATCACAGAGGAGAGAGAGAGAGAGAGGGAAACTCACACACACACTTGTGGATGAAGACCACTCGACGTTAGCTCAACATCGCAGCAAGAAGAGGTTGAAAAGTCGTGAGACGATTTGGAAACCATGCTCGAGTTGTATGAGAAGCGCAGGGCGCTGCTGCTGCTGAGGCTTGCAGCTATGTTCTTGAGCCTCGCTGCCTTGCTCATCACGGTTCTCAATCGAGAGGATGGTTTCTTTTCTATCAATGTCTTTGGATCGCCACAGCCAATTCTCACCAAAGCTACCGCCGATTTCACGCTCGTCAAGGGACTCAAGTCAGTGGGGAATCATTGGAAATCTTTGAAAGCCTGTTGATCTGATGCTTCTTTGTAAAGGTTTTTCGCGGGAGCAATGGGCATTGTGGCTGGCTACTCTTTCCTGCAGCTAGCAATCGCAATGGCATCAATGTTTTCAGGAGCTCCAAGCATCTTGGGAGGGAAACGTATGGCATGGCTATGCTTCGTGGGAGACATGGTATGTGTGTTAGAACAACTCTTTTTCTTTCTAAAAGAAAAAGAAAATACCAAGGAATTTTTCTGAATTCTGCAGACAGCGTCGCACCTGTGTGCGGCTGCAGCTGCGGTTTCTGCACAGCTGGCGTACTTGGGCAAGCGAGGCGCACCAATGTGGAGTGCGGTGTGCACGTATTTCAGTCACTACTGCCTTGTGTTTGGTTTGGCCGTGATTTTCGCCTTCTTGGCCACTCTGGCAGCACTTCTGGTGGCTTCAATCTCTTCGTACCACCTGTTCCGGCTGCATGGCATTCTGCAGCAGCAGCAGCAGCAGCGGCGGCAACTGCAGCAAGAGCATGTTCAAGACAAGCCATAACACAAACAATGGCTTCTAGTCTTAAGATTGAACATTAAATCAACTAATGTATAATTTAAGTAAATATATAATTCTCTTATTTCTTTTTATTTCATTTTCTTATTACTTTTTACTAATACTTGGGATCCCTTTAGGGCAGATGTATTTTGTGCCCTATACGCAATGTGCAAGGAGCTCGTGGTGGATGAAGTTTGCAGCCGATCGATGAAGAAGACGATCCCTCGTATTATCAAGAGTGGCCACCAACAGCGCCACCATCACAGGAAGCCTCCGCTCGCGCCCCACTGCCATGGGGCGGCGAGTTGCAAGCTTTGCATCCTCCAGCAGCAGCAATGGGCGGATCTCGAGCTCCATCTCTCTCGAGCGATCACTCTCTCCGCCCCTGGCGCTGTGGAGATGAAGATCCCACCACCACCATCAGTTCCAAGTGTGGTGGAGATGGAGATGGAGATTCCATCAGTTTCAAGAGTGTTGGAGATGGAGACTCCTTGCAAGTGATCATTGACATTCTTATGCCACAACTGTTGTATAAAAGTGTTGTAAGAAATGTTCTATGGACAAGGTTAAGCTTTCACAAGAAGTCAAACAATCCTTTTACCACGATATTTTGAAAAATTAGGGCTCCGTGCAATTGATCATTGACATTCTTATGCTCTTCTTTCACAACTGTTGTACCTCCACGAGAACATAATCATAGGAAAATTCCATGGAACGACAATTCCAATTGATGTATGGATTAAAGTGATGTAAGAAATAAGCTTTTCAAACAATCCTTTTACGACAAATCTAAAAGATATTTTAAAAAATTAGGGCTCTTCCATTTCGCCTTTTTTGCTTCCTCGTTCTTGGGGATGACCTCTCTCCTCCAATTCCTCGAAGTGGAATGGCCCTTCTTGCTCTGCATCCTCGAGGTCGGCCTCTGCGTCGCCGCTGCCATCGCCGTCGTCGTCAAATTCGAAGCTCGGCCCTCCACGAAGCGGATCGATAGTAGCGGGAATGGCGGCGACGCGGCGGCGCTCGCATCGATCCAGCTCTTCCGCTGCTCCTCCGGCGTCCTCCACCCGGCCTGGCTCGCCGGGATCCGGGCAATCTCTTTCATCTACTTGCTTAGCATTTGGATTATCAGCTTCGTCGCCAGCGGCCCATTGTCGCTCGTCTTTTACACTCAGTGAGTTACTATTAGCGCGAATTTCTCGTTGATCTTCTTCCTTGCTTCTCCAGATGGACTTTCACATTGCTCGTGATCTACTTCGGGGTAAGAAAGTTCCACCTCTCGATTCTTCTCATCGTGTTTGTTCTTTGTTTTTCAGCTAGCCAGTTATATAAGCATCACCAAGCTCGTTTCCGGCGCCGCCAAGGAAAAGAAGATAGTTCTGGTCGACGAGAGCTTGGGCGACGAGGAAACTGGGAACTTCATCGAGCAGGAAAGCATTGCTGACACTACCGAGGACGAAACGGATGCTTCGGCTGGATTCATCGGCTACGCAACGCTTGTTATCTTCCAGGTACTTGAAAAAACTTCTCGGCTTGAAAACTCTAATGGTGGTTTCTCAAAGACGGCTACCGCGGCATCGGTTTTGACTGACACTGTCTACTGGTTCATCCTCGTCCCGTATGTTCTAGCCAGTCCTTTCTTCGACTTAAACTTCGTAAGCAAGAACAAGAGAAAAAAGATCTCTTCGTTCGCTCACAATTCTCTCAAGTTCTTCACCCGCAGGTAAATCTCAACATGCATGGCGTCAACGCGATCTTTTTGCTCGCGGAGCTCTTCCTCAATGACTTGGTACGCATCAAGCTTTTGTTTCTCATCCCGCGGGTTCTATAGTTTTTATTCCACAGCCTTTTCCATGGTTCCGGGGCGCTTATTTCGTGTTTTGGACCGCTGCATACGTTGTTTTTCAATGGTTCATCCACGGGACAAGGCTCCTAACATGGTAACGAACGATCCTTCCAAGATTTCCATCGGTTTTTAATAATCTCTCGTTCTTCTCTCAGGTGGCCATATCCTTTTCTCGAGGTCTCAACGCATTATGCTCCGGCGTGGTAAGTCTAGACGAGAAAGAAGAAACTGGAGGGAGTTAATATTTCTTTTTCCTCTGTTTTCATTCTTCTGGATTCGTTTCTTTACAGGTACTTTGGCCTCGCCTTCGCCCATTTGATTTGCTTCCTCATTTGTTTAGCACTGGCAAGAACCAAACAGCCAGTGATCAGCTATTTTGTCAGCAGGAGTGCTCGTCAGAAGTAACAGCCGCGGCTGCCTCGTCGTAAGGGACAAACCCCTGGAGCTCCGGACCATTGAGACGGGGATTGTTATCAAAGCTGCGCAAGGAAGAGACAAACAAAATTCTATGAGCTACTTTCAAAGAAAAACAAAACTCTTCTTGTACCTCTTTGGTGAGAACTGAGCGAATGATCCGGAGGTCGGGATTGTGCCACACAAATCGTTGTCAGAGAGATCCCTGTAGAGATTAAGAAAGAGAGGTTGCTCCAAAACTGCAAACATCGGAGCTTTTCCGACCGACTTACACTATTTTCAGGCTCGAGATTGACGACAGTTCCCTTGGGATTTGTCCCGAAAGTCGATTCTTGTTGAGACGCCTGTAAGCATCAGGCATTAGTTTAAAGAAACACAAAGGAGAAAGTCAGGCTGCGTACAGGAAAGCAAGAGACTTGAGTTTTCCAAGTGACCGAGGAATCGGGCCAGTCAAGTTGTTCATGTACAAGTCCAAGCTCACGAGCTTCTTCAAGTTGCCGAGCTCCTGGGGGATGTGCCCAGCAATATTGTTCTTGTAGAGCTCCCTGGAAATCAAAGAATTCATGCTCAAAAGCACTGAAGCTACAAGAAACTTACAGATGACGAAGGTTTTCCAGCTTTCCCAGCTCTGGGATCAGCACTCCGGAAAGCTTAGCGTTCCCAAGATCCCTGGAAACAAAGGGGCATGATCAGTGAGCACTCGTATTCTCAGGGGAAAGGAAAAAAAAAAAAACACAAACAAAACGAACGGATCATTCTAGTTCTTACACTCTTATCACTCGATTCTGGTTGTCACAAGTGATATGAAACCAAGTACACGGATCCACCAGCGTTGGATCCCAGCTCTGGAGCACATTCTCTGGATCGACCAAGCTCCTCCTCAGGGAATGGAGAATATCGCCTAGAAAAAGAAAACATGACAAGCTCAAAAAAGCTGTGCTCCTACCTTCGACATTTCCAGCCGCGATCCACAGCTCCAGCGCCAGGATCACTGCCGCGAGCGCTCCTACCGCCGACGCCATAGCAGTGCGTGCCCTAGGCAAGAGATCCCTGGGCGCGCATGGGAGAGATTAGACCTATCAAGCCAAAAAAGATTTGGGGGCGCTCTTGTCCGTGTGAGGGGAGCGTTTTCCAAGCACGATGATCCCTCCTGGTACGCCTGGGGGTCAGGCCAATGATGTAATGACACGTGTCTAGTCGCCTGTCAGAGCTGACGTCACAGCACTTACTTAAACGGACGGTGATGATTGTTTTTAGGTTATTCAACATTAATCAAGATTCTGTTGACTTTCATTGACTAAAGGTTTCTAACATTTGCTCATACTTAACACACTGGAGCCACGGGCGTTTGTTTTCCTGGTGTTTGTGTTCTTCGTCACTGCCGCTAATCACCTTTCGCCTGAGCTAATTCCAGCATTGATCACCGTCTTCAACGCACCCTAACACCTTTTGATCGATTAAAGTATGATCATCCTGCACCTTTCTTCGAGGAAATCTTTGTTGCGTCGCTCAGAAGTGCTAGAGAACACTTCACCAAAGGTTTCACCATTTTCTCATCACCCATCGCATTCATGTGGCAAACCTGGAGTGTACATGACAAGAGCTCTGAGAAGACCTGTGTCAAGCCGAGCAGCCCAGCTGCTTTCTTCATGCTCGGCGCCGTTTTCTCAAAATTCTGGAAGCCCTTCACTTTCTGCTCAGGGAGCTTCTCATCCAGAGCGCAAGAGCTATCAATTTCCCAGTGAAAGATCTCCTCGAGGCTAGCATCTTTGATATCCCAGTGAAAGATCTCCTCGAGGCTAGCATCTTTGATAAAGCTCTTCCTTGCGAAGGTGATTGTAGCACCGCAAACTCTGCCAGAAACATCGGAGCTTTGCCATCATTTCCTTTGTTTCACTGGGTGATGTTTTAAAGTTGTAAGTCAACCCATATCGTCCATACTGCGGCTGCTCACGCGCTTCTGTTTGTTTTGTTCATGAATCCTCGTACATTCTCAGCTTCTTCTCCCAAAACTCTTCGATGCGAGGAAGCTGTTCTGTCCCCAACTTCTCACCAAGTTGCTGGCGGAAAACCCAGAAACCTCGGATGCCATGCTCACAGTCTTCCATGTCTCCTCCTCACGACTACTCTCGACAAAAAAAGCCCAGCAAATGTATTAAGAACTTGTGGCTCTAGCAAACTTGATCCTCGCCCAGCAGCTTCTCTGCGAAAATCACAGCCCTCTTAGATGCTCGGCAAAGCTTAGAACATCAGGCTTCTTATCTTTCTCTCCCAACAGCCCCGGCTCAATAGCATTCGTCCCATCCATACTTCTTTACCGTAATCTGTGCTGTTTCCACGAGATCCAGTTCCGCGTCTTGAAAGTCGTGCTCGAGACAAAACTCGTCAAAAGATTCTGTCTAATTGCGTGGTGGTGGTTTCAAGGTGGTTTGCTTTGATGGACGCAGCTCATGCTTGAAGCTTATAAACCTTAACAAATGTGAAAAATTAACCACTTACGCAAATAAAAAACATTGAAAAAAAATTGCCGCGATTTACAGAGAATCTGAAACAAGAAATTTGTTTCCCTTAGTACTGTGGCCGCCGGCGCAACCTCAAAGGTGGAACTTGTGGCAATGCATGGTTTCTAATGGGGGGAACTTGTTCTTCCCAGCCCTTCTTAGAGCCTTGGCTTCCTCTTCCTGCAGGGAAGAGAATTCACTTTAAGTTTTGGAGAAAAACTGAAAAGCTTTGGTACTTACCGAAGTACTTGTACTGATCATACTTTATCGGATGGGGTTTTCCTCGGGAGCTCCTCAAGTAATCTAGATGACGAACTGGAGCAGTCTTCGGACGAGACAAACGATCAAATGCGTCTTGCCTACACAAAGATTTTCGATAAAAGAAGTGCGAGTAATGAATAACAAGCTTACTTGAGCAATAGATTTCTTGATGGCCCTTTGTGCTTGGCAGACTTGATAGTTACTCTGTTCTTGGAATCCTTGTTGGTGGCTTCCGTGGCGTTGACCTGTTGCTGCTGTGTCGATGTTTCATTTAGTAGATCCGACAGCCTCGGAGATGGAGTGGAGGCAGCTTTTCTAGAATTTTGCTGGTGCTCTTGTTCTTCGCAAGACACGTCCGATCGATGCGAAGGAGGCCCATCATCTGTCCAGGGAAGAAAACAGTAACAGATAATGGTCTATCATCAATGAAAAGAAAAATTTTCGTTAACCATGATTTGGTTCGCTTGTGATGATGAATGATAGAAATCAAAGTGCCAAACCAGTAGCTGAGTTGTGAGCTCGAAGCTGATCCAACTGCGCCTTGCACTCCATGAGCTCTTTCAAGAGCATATCATATTTCTTCTCGCATTCTGCGTGTACTGTCGAAGGCCGCTTGACGAAATCCTTGGAGAAAAAAACCAAACCACCGCTGATTTCCAAGCTAGAAAATTCTCGTTTCACTTACCGGCTTGTAGAAGCTATAGAATTTCCCATAATCCATGTTCGTCGTCGCCCATGGCTCGAAATTGGCCTCTCCAGGCTCAGCATCGTAGCCCACTAGACGAAATCCACGCCAAGGATAAGCGCTGGCGAAGATAGGAAGATTTTAGCTGCTTACTCTCTCGGATCGGAGCGCCAAGCTCACGCCATCTCAGCCCCGATGAACCCTAGCCCTGGGCTCCTAGCCCTAGAGCCGTTAAGATGCTTTTCAAAATTGTCGATCTGAGCCGTCGGATCGGAAAGTGAATCGGACGGCTTTAAATTTATATGAGAAGAACTCTATTTATCAATTTTTTTAATTACTAGTTCTTAGAGGTACACCACAAAAGAAGTTCACCAATTCCAAAGTATTAATCAAGGAAGTATTTTCATTGTTTGTCCCAGCAATCTCTTTCATAATGCCACTAACTATTAGCTAGCCCAAAGTCTATCTCAAGTAATTTGATAATTTAGCTCTTATAAAAGGTGTGAAAAATTTACCATAAACATTATATGAAAAACATCCATGCAACCAAAATCTATAACTTGGAATAAAGAATGGTTAAGAATCTTTTAAACCATCAAAAAAACACTTGAAGCCCATTCACAATAAACAAAAGTGTTATGTTTATCTACCATGACCATTTCATAGATGCCCAAGCTCTTTTCCATAAGCAAATTAAGTTTCTTCAATTTATATTAGGGACATTTAGAGTATATTATTTTCAATCCAAGTGTTACACACAATTTTTTGAGTTTTAAAGTGGTAATTTCTGTCTTTGAACTTTTGCCACAGGATGTAGAAAAACCACCACAATAGACATTTGCGCTATATCCACCTTCTACCAATAAATCAATTATTGTCTTTTTTTCATTGGTCCAAATAAAGTTTTTTAGCCTTATTGCCATCTCCATTCTTTAAGTACTAATGCAATAACAATCATTTCTTCCCTGAATATGGAGCATTGGCTAGCTAACCATAATGTTAACTTCCTTGTTGACCATTTTCCTGACCATCATTGATCTAGTTAACTTATAGTTTTGGCAAAAACATTTAAATCTTAATGATAACATTAATTAATGTTGTTAGAAAATCCTTCTTAACTTTTGTTCCATATCCATTGAGCTCAAACTTTTGATAAAATATTACACCTTTAGTAGCTCATTATAAATGCTTATGAAACTAAGGCAAAAATCACAAAACTTATAAGCATATGCAAATCCCTATATAATCTCTAGTAACTAGTTCACAATATCAACCTCTTCAAATTTTTTGCAAATGAACATTCATGAAATCACTCCAAAAAGTTAGTTTTGATATCATTATTTTAATTTTCTCATTTCGATTTCTCTAGATAAGGATCATATTTATGCAGACCTGTGCATCCTTGCTCATGTGAATTTTGTGGCAAAACAGAAGCAACAGAAGGAGTTTGTTCTAGAGTTTATGGACATGGAAATCAAGACAAAGAGATTTTGATCCCAGCCTTTTTCCAAGCCTAGATTTTTTAGGTGCTGTTGCTGGATTGCAAATTCCCATTTTTAGAAGACCATAAAATTAATAATAATTTTAGAGTATGGATAAAAGAACTATTTGGCCCTGAATAGAAGCTTACATATGCTATTAACACATATTCAATCACACACTTGCTATTTAAAAGGAAATTCTAGGTTATAGAGGAAACAAAAAATCACACTCAATACATTTGATCATTTAGGTCCCACTTGGGTCTATCATCAGATACCATAGACTCACTAGGAGACTTTACTCCACCTTTAACTGGACAAATTTTCCTT